ATGGAAATTAAGGATGAGGGGAGTGTGGAGGGCACAAGCTTGATGATGAATTGGACGTCCAAAGTCACCCTATAAATAGGGGAGGGATGACTTAGGCTCCAGTTGGCAACATGTGCTTCCTTGTATCCAGCAATAACTAGAATAAACAACCCAAACGCCATGTGATCCAAGTCTTCTGGCAAAGTAATTATAATGTGGTCAAGTTGAAATTATATATTGTGTAATAATGTTTTGATAAATCTTAATTAGGAGTAGCGCTACAATGATGAGGACTACCTCTTATACAAGAGATGCGAAGGTGTCTTCCCTGATCGACACGTGTTCAAATGAAGATCCACAGATGAACGTCTGTCATTTTTCAAGTCACCTAAACCGGAAATCTGTATCAGACTTTAGTCCTTGATGACCGGTGAGAATCACAGCAAGATAATGTGATTGCTTATAGTTTAACTTATGCGGGGCAATGATAAGTCAAACACATAAATCAATCCTGAGTTTCCCAGCAAAGAGAGAACAATTAAACGTGGAATTGCGCTAATTGGCAATACGGTATTGATTACAATCAAAGTTCTCTTTTTTTTTTTTTTTTTTCATTTTAGTTCTCGCTTAAATGGTCAGTTTGGTGGTCGCAATTGTCTCTTGACTCGGTGAAGTTTGATCCCGTTTTCACATGAACGTTGTACAATTTATAGATCTCGGTACTGCGATTATTATATTATTTGTGATGCTTCCGTGAACTAAATCAAAATCATTTCTGGGATTGTTTGTAGGGGTGGCCACTGGTCACGAGTTGAGTTTTTCGTTATCTGTTCGAGTTCGGCATAGCTTGTGAAATGTTCGGTCCGATTCAGTTTAAATTGAGCTTTCAGATGAATTCAAGCTTAATATATAAGATCGTTTGTTAATCGAGCCTAGTTCGAGTTTAATAAAGCTCAGCTCATGAGACTAATTGAGTTTTTATATATTATTTTTATAAAATATTTAATTCACAGCGATTCGAGGTGGGTTCAAACTTCTAAGCTTTTCACTTAAGTCAAATTCGAGCTCAAATATCTAACTCAAATCGAGCTTGAGCCTAATAGGCTATTAGAGAGCCGAGCTCGAATAGCTAGATATTCAGCTTGGCTCAGTTCAAATCCAGCCCACGTTGGTAATAAATCAATTTCTTAACCATCCTAGTTAAATGGATCATCAAATAAGAAATAAAAAAAAATAGATTTAAATCATTGATTGGATGAAACTGTTAAACCAATGTTTTAAAAACTGACCCAGAACCAAAACCATTGTGGCCACTAGTTTCTGGGTCAGCGGTTCGACCATTTAGTTTAAATGGACAGTTGTTTAAATTAAAATATAAAAATAATTAAATTAAAAGATAAAAAACCGTTCTCTAGATTGAACAAGTTGATGGTTTGACCATTCGGATCAGTGGATCATTGACCAAATCAACGTTTTTGGCCAAGGAACAGGTTAATGGTGAAATGGAACTGATTGCCTAGAGGATTTCTAGGCTGAACATTCTGACCACCTAGGTCAATAACGGTTTGATAACCATGTGTTAAATGGTTCAATCTGCCAGGTTTTGGGATCACTAACAAGTCAACTGTTTTTATTATTGAATGGTTTGTGGATGAATTGCAAGGTTTTGAAAACCGACTTGGAATCAGAACCATTCTAGCCACCAATTTCTGGGTCAGCGGTTTGATCATCCAGTTTGAACGAACATCCCATTCCAATTTAAACAATAATAAAATAAAAAAATAAAAAAGCAATCAAAATCATTGACGGGTCAAATGGATTGACGGTTTGACCGCTTGGACCAGTGGATCGCTGGCCAAATCAATAAATTTTCACCTAGGACCAAATTAAAGATGAGTCAGAACCGGTTGCCTAGATGATTAATTCCCAGGCCAAATGGTCCAACTGTCTGGGTAAATGACGGTTGAAAAACACCGATGAAATGGACCTGAATGAGAGTAAAGTAAATTCTAAAGCAAAATTGTGATGCAAACAGATCTTGAAATTGGACAAATGCATGGATCATGACATTTCCTTCAAACCACGTTAAGCTCTAGATTCTGGAAGTCAGCCTGTTGTACGTATGTGTTTGGTTCTATTGGCATTTATTGAAAAAACACCACAACATCAACGCGACATAGGCGTTGGCGTTTATTGCATATGAAGCAAAATGAAACAATTGTTTGGTTTCACCGTTTATCAAATAAATGATAAAAAACTGAAACATTTTGATTTTTGTGCATGGGGCATTTGGGGAAATGCCAAATTTTTGTTTCCCCCAACACCCTAGCATTTCGTGAAATCAAATGTTGATGTGTCACACTTTAATGGGTATTAATCTGAAGTAGAGAATAAAAAGCGTTTAAAGTAAATCCCAATCAAATAACAAAAACAGGAAAAAACACAAATAAACGTTTAAAGTGAAAAAACACAAATAAACAGCCACCCGTAAATGTAAATCGAACCAAACACCCTCAAATGTGTGGATTGACAAGTCACATGGCGTTTGTGGAAATTTTTAAGGTTTTTTTCCCCTCTTTTAATAAGAACCCATTCTATAAGAAATCGGATCTCTTGCCCCTAAACTCTTTATGCATCCCTACCCACATGACACTGCCGCCATGTAATAAGAAATTTGGAACATTTCTTATTAAGGAATAGCCCTACCCTCACGATAAGGAGTTCAAATCAGCCCCCATAAGATTGCCCCCAACATCTCACAATACATCTCTGCCATGTTTTGAAAACTTCTGCCAATGATAATAACAGAAATAATGATGTCATTATTGGGAATTTAGGCGGAGATATACTGTAGGGTGTTGTGGGGGGCTGATTTGATCTCCACGATATTATTCCAATACACCACGGTGGTAGGGTCCTGTGGGTAGAGATGTGAAAAGAATTTATGGGTAGTAGATCCAGACCTATTTATTTACTCGCTAAGGTTGCTGAGATGGCCATTTCTGAACCTGACCTGACCCGGAACCTAGATACATCTAAAAGTTTAATTGGGTCAGATTCGGAACTAATCCAGCCATATCCGTGTTGAAACCAAATATTAAAAACAAAATCTAATATCTAATTTTATGGATGAATTCTGGGTACCAGTTATCATGTTGTTTAGCTATGGAATTAACCGTTTAGCACTATCTTGGTTCATTGTAAGAAGCCCATTTCTGGCGGTTTCTTGTGGATCGAGAGCAAAATGGCTGGAATGGTGCTTAGTTGGGCCTTATGGTCCATTTCTATTTTGGATTAATGGGTAAGAAACAAGGCTTGTTTCTTGTCCAAATGCAGCAAGAAATGATTCATTGTGGAAATTATAATTACATTAAATATATCATAAAAAAAATCTTTAACTGAAAATAGAAATTTCAGGGTTGCCTCAATTTAGATGTCATATGGCTCTTTTTGTTTCAATTTCACTCAACATGGTACTGACTAATTAAATATGTTATAATAAATACAGCATTATATTATATTTAATTATAGCAAATTTAATATTTCTCAAACCAAACATGTTTGACAAAATGGACTGAATGCTATTTTGCATTTCCTTCCTAGTCCCACAAGTTTACAACCATAAATAGAATTTATATTTTTCGGATTAAAATGGGAAGAAATAACGGAATGAGAATCTGAACCAAGTGCAGCCTCAGGTGACTGTTTGCTCATTCTAATCAAATCCACAGAGGTTCAACATCATTTTTCCTTGTTGGTTTTCAATGAGAGAGAGAGAAATAAATTACATTATCTTCAAACTTAAGATACAATTGATCAAGAATTGATTTGTGCCACCATTAGGTACTTATTATCACTTAAGCAATATAGTATTATAGCATCAAACTTGTCTCTTCGCCTTTTTTCCCATCAATTCAGACCAATTGAAATGGCCGTATCATTGCATTATCTTCGTGGTCCAGAATCTGCGCACAAGAAATTAAAAAATAGGATTTAGTGTAAAACCCGAAATAAAACCCGCTCCGAAACGAACAAAATATATAGTAATAATTTAGGACTCACATGACAATGGTAAACATATCCCGGTTGAGTCGTGGCATCAAACGGGTATGGTGAATTGGTGTCGACCAGATTAAATTTGACGACGACGGATGTTTGGGTTCCCGGCGATATCTTCACTGCGTTCTTCCATGTCTTCTCTGTAGCGGGTACGTCCATCAATGACCCGGTTAGGTGGGAACCCACATTGCACGCGATGGCATCGTTGTTCTGGGTCATGCAGTTGGTGAATTGGGTGACATTTGTAAGTTTCTGAATCTTGATTGCTTGGAACGTAGCCAAGTGTATGTGTAATGGATGATCGTCTGCTGTCAAGTTGATCACCTGCCATATCTCGGTACTGCCGGACTTGGGTGTCTCCGTTACCGGATCCTCAAATCTCTTCCCATTTATATAGAGGTGTGTGCTCGACCCGGATGAGTCGGTGTACTCGTACAATACAATGTACCTTGTTGCCACTGCGGCATCTGTTGTCGATGCCTTGTAGGTCACTAGGCTCGCTGGGATCGTGGAGGTATCGGGTACAGTCGGGTTTCCTGGTGTAATGACAAACTTCATGACATTTGAGTTGAGGTTATCCACACTGCTACCATTCGGGTACGGGTAGTTCGCGTTATTTTTCAAAATTATATTAGTGGCTTTGGAGGTTGAAAAGTCAATGATGACATCAGCAATCTCGGATGGTGCCAGGAGGATGCTTTGTGTCTGAACGGGTGCGGGTAGGTACGAAGCATCAGATCCGATTTGGGTAAATGAGAGGCCATTGCTTAGGAAGAGATTGAAGTAACGTGCGTTCGCAGCGTTGATAATCCGGAACCGGTACTTGCGTCTCTGGACCCGGATGAAGGGCCAGGCCTTACCGTTGACGACGATTGCGTGGCCGAAATATTCCGGTTGCCACTGAGGGTGAATGGACGGGACAATTCCCGTATAATTCATGTAGAGGGAACCGTCCGTGCTGAAGCTCCGATCAAAGATCATCAAGTTTCGGTCAAATTTTGGTCCTGATGGGAGGTTCAAGGATGCATCTAAGGTGGGATCCCGGATATTGTAAGCGGCGATCAGTCCCGCCAGCAAATTGACACGTGTTAAACCCACCGTGTGATCATGGTACCATAGATTTCCAGAATGTTGGACGTTTGGGTAGGTGTATGTGGCTTTGGACCAGGTGGATCCGGTCTCTCGGAAACCAGAGGTGAACCAGGCAAGGGCGTGTCCGTCATCTCCCGAGGGATGGACCCCACCGTGGAGATGGACTACGGTTGGGACCCCACCATTCTTGGGGATGGCGGTGGGGATGGTCGGATCCCAGGGTAGTATGTGGCTTTGAGGGAGGTAATTTTGCCACGTCACATACGTTGGGACCCCCTTGATGGCCTCAATTGTGGGACCCGGTACAGTTGCCGTAGCTTGAGATGTCCCAAATGCGAAGACCGTCGTTGGAGGCAAATCACGGTGGAATTTCTGCAAAACGATAATAAGGCAATCATTGACGTGGATATCACACAGTATGGATGCCACGTGTATGGTGAATAAATAAAACGATATGTGTGTTTATTTTCAATGGAATTTTGATTGGTTAAAATGCTTTAGGTATAAGATACCATAGAAATTGCCCGTTGAGGGTTCAACACTTGTGAGATTGAAACTTTGAAAGCAGGTGAAGCAATCCTTTCATCACCAGTTTATTCTTGACTTTTCTTGAGAAAGAAAAGGAGAGAACAAATTTCGGACAGTTGTTAGGTCAAAAGCTCAATGTTTTGCAACTGTACCGGTCGGCCGGAACATATGATCAGTCAAACAGGTCACTCACTCCGGTGAACTCACCGATCATCCCAATTATATAGGCCGACGGTTCTGAGCTCTAAATTAAACCATAGTGCAACGTAATGAAATAGGGAGTGTTGAGTTGATCATGTGTGTGAGACAAGAAAAAAAGGACGAGGCTATACCCATTTTTTCTCATACATGCCGATGGTGAGACTGCAAGGCTTATAAGAGTCTTCTTCGTAGGAGTAACCCAAGAGCTTGGGCATCTGCGGCAGCTCATCCACGAACATTTTCAGAGAACCGGCCACTTTAGTAAGTACCGCGTCTGTTATTGGAGGCGGAGGTGCTGGGGTAGCTCCGTTACACACCGTGATGAGTATTAAAGATGTGAGAGCTAACAAAAGGTTGGTCGCCATCTTTTTTCTTCTCGAATCAGCTTGTCTGCAGAAAAGGAAACTTTCAGAAATCCATTAGTATGCAATCAAATGATAGATAGACGATTCAATAAAGACTATGCTTTATGAGTTGCGCTATTATAAGTCATTGAAACTAAAAAGCTTTCAATGACTTAACCCTATAGCTAGCCACCCTTAAGCTAATTAAGGTATATATAATAATCCAAGACCAGAACAGGGTGGACTGCAGGACTATGAGTAAAGTGAAGATATAAAGGAAGATGGTGGTGGCGGTGGTGCGGCAGAAGTGGTCTTAGCCGTCGTCGATAAATCTTGAACCTCAATTGGATCAAAGGAAGGCTCTCAAAAGCCTAGTTCCATACCTTGAAGCAAAGACCTATGTACTTCTAACCTCTGTCTTCACATCATTGATTATCATCTTCACCAACACCATCATCCTCTATATATAACTACGAGAGGAGAGGTTAAGTGACAGGACACACCTACAGAGAGAGAGAGAGAGAAAGGAATTATACCAAATTAAGGAGAAGGTGAAAGCTAGGGAGGAGGGGAGAGAGAAGACAAGAGGCGTGTGCCAAGCACACAAACTTGATGATGAATTGGAGTCCGAGCCAGTATACTATAAATAGACACAAGGGATGGCTACGTATGGGGACATGCGTCTTCCTTGTATTGAGCACAGAGAGGCGACGCGGGTGACGCAAACCCAACGTGGTGTTGTCCAAGATAAGTAAATAACAAAGCAGCGACGCACTTCTGTTATATTTTAAGCGGGAATTAGTAATCAAAACTGGTAATATCTTCTTAGTAACTAGCTAGTATCTGGAGGTAAGCAACTACCCCAGATGATTTGATTCCTTAATTATGCATGGCAATGGAATGCATACAAACATAGGTCAATCAAAATAATTCAAATAAGAATACGTACCCCACCACCACCAAACAGAAGAACAGGCTAGCAATGTGGCAGAAATTGAAGAAGATGTTGGTAACTGTCATCTTCTTTTAAAATGGCTGGTTAACTTTTTGCTTTTTGTGATTATCACCTTTACTTAATTAATTAGTGCATTACTACTCATCCCACATTAATTAATATATTGTCTTTTCTTGAATTATTGGTATTAATATTGTAAATGTTGAGAAAGAGTTTTTGACTTTAGAATTACATCACCAACCTCAATTACCTCTCCTGTTTAACGTACGAGCTCTTCTTCATCCTTTCACCATTACCATTTTCCCTTTCACTTTTTTTGGGTGTGGTTGGGTTTGGCACCAAGAAACCAAATAGCCCTGTGAATATATGTTGCAGAAAGTGAAATTTTGTAGGAAAAATTTAGCCGTTTTTGATAGAAATACATTTTATCTTATTAGAAAGAAATATCTGTGATAAATGTGATTTATTATTATTATTATGGAATGGGTAAAAATACAACAAAAAAAAAAAGATAAAAGAAAGAGAATTAGTGTTAACTCGTTACCCTCTGACCATGTCAAACGGTTCGTGTATGTAGTTAGCTCAGTGTTTGAATGAAAAACCAAAGTATCACATCAACTGATGTTTGATTTAAAACACTGGCGTATTCATCAAATTTCATTGGGGTTGCATGTGACAACGGTCGCAGGAAACCTTTTCACGTTTTACAAGCAAATAGTTCAGGGGCTAAACGGACATAGAAATCCTGATTGAATCTTTGGTTAGTCAAGTTTGATCAGCCTTTGTACTATGGGTTGAAATTTGAAAAGATTGATTTGGTTACTGGTTACAGTCTTCCCTCCCCAAAAATCAAATTTACACGATAAAAGTATTTAAAAAGAAAGGCCAAGAACGAGATAAATTAAATAAGATAGATAAAAAATCTGGATATGTTCTTAAAAGATGCTTACTGGGGTTTTATATATGACCAGACTGTGAATAAAGTTAATCTCCTACTCTCCTTGTCGTGGAGCATGATTTCATGGGTTTGGTGCCTTGGTGGTACCTTCCTTTATTAGTGACGATACCGTAGTGATTTGTTTAGATGCGGAAGAGACGAACAGAACAAAAGAAGCACCGACGACCTCACTGTCACTTTTCCATCATATCGATCTTTCTCTTCAGTCTTCATTTTTCGAATTATATAAGGGCCCAAGGGGGAAGGTCTTTTCGCAATCAATTTCGTTAGTCTGTGTTTGATTTTCAATTTCGATATCCTCGCTTATTACTTGAGGCCAAATCGATCGGTTTTGAGTCTTTTGACTGTGAATCCACTCATGACTCAACCAGCAGAAATCCCATTTCTTATTTGCTAAATCAAAAAGTCATCATTGATCCATGCTTGTATTCTTTTTTATGTTTGACGTTTTCCATAGTTAATTTGCACTAATACAATTAAGAGTTTCTTCGATCTGAGCACCTAACCACCCATTTAGAAGTTAGAAAGACAATTCCTGGAACTGGAAGCTTAAGATGTACCCATAGTTTTGGGTTGGCTGAAAACTGCTAATCCACTATTTTTTCCATTAATGGCATACTTAAACAGTTAACGCTTATTTCAAGTGGTTTATCAGTTAAGCAGTCTGCTCTGAGCTGACCGCTGACTCGTTGAGCTAGCTTTGTCATTAGGCAGCCCCTAAGATTAATTTATGGTTAAAAAGACCGCCCTTTAATTTATAGTCTGGTATGGTTGAATGAATTTAATCAGTTGAAAACTAAGGTAAGCTTCGCAGATATTCATATTAATTTTGATATTTTATTGTATGACCCAGGCTTGAGCTCAATTATTCTGAGGGTTATTTGCTAATATGGTTGATTCGGATTTGTGCCATTTCAGAAAATGGAAATCTTCAAATTAAAATCTAATTTCTCGAACTTGGTTTCTGAATTTCTAGAATATAAATATTCCTTTGATTATGGAATTGAAGAAATCAATCGATTTCCTTCTTTATGGGTCTGCTTCGCCGATGTTTGGTTAAAAAGCAAAAGAATTGGTCAACCAAAGCTAATTAAAGAACAAAATATAATATTATCTTGATATGATTTCAATTTGATAAGTTAACTAGATTCTAAAATCCAATTGTGGACCCAGATTTCATGAAATAGAAAATTGGCAATCTGAAAAGAAGTGTTCTAATGGGGGAAGGCAACCTTATTAATTTATTCAATGGATGGTAATAGTCAAAACTCAAAAGCGTTTGGTGGTCATCATCGGTCATTACAAGTAGTGAAGATTTAGCAATTAGCCAGCTAATAGTAAAACCTTCTTGACTCACTTGAATACAGTCCATCTTTTTGTGATGGAATGTCGGCAGTGGGACTGAGCTGCGTCAGCCCAGAAGAGAGAATTCAAGCTTTACACAACCTTTAATGCATGCTCATGGAAGCAGTGAAAGTGAACTCATCAAACGGGAGAGGAGCTAATCTAATCAGCTAATGACCCATAATTAAGCTTATTATCATGATTGTTTCCCACCGGCAACTTTGTGAGGAGTGAGGACAAGCCGACCGAACTATGCAATGAAATGCCTTGCACGTTTCTTTTAAGCAAGAAAAAACCATTTATCATGATCCAGTTTCCTTCATTTTCCTTGTATAATATCTTATAAAATCAAATGTTAAATCATAAAAATAAAATTATTGAAAAAGCTGGTTGCATTATTGAAACCCTCATAATGACGGATTACAGTATTACACCAACGATCCGATTTCTTTTCTTTGAACAAAATGATTCCGGTCTGAAGAGCACCCAGTAGGTAGCCGCCAGTAACCCCTTTGAAACAACAAGACCGCCGTTAATTAGGGCCAAGTAGGTGGGGTTTTTGGGAGAAGCACACTAGCTCAATGCAGAATTTTGAAATTAATTACAGTCTCTCATAGTCTATTAGTATCCCCTTATAAATCGTATTTTGTTGGTGAATTTGGCATCAATCCACAGTTAGAATTCACCCACTGTATGGTGAGGTTAAGATTTCTGAGCTGGATTCATCAGTTATTCTCCTTTTTCTTTTGTTTTTTTTGAAAAAATTTCTAATCAGTATCCTGTACTTTGGTTCGATTAAAATGCCATAATCCAACTTTTAACTTGTGACAATCCAATATCTTACACTAATTCATCATCAGTCAGAGTCATCACGTGAGATTAGGTACAGTTTAAATATTTCATAATACCAAAATTAATCTTTTTCATAATATTCAGACCATTTTATCCTTTTTCTTTCTTTTTACTCTATTCCCCTTTATCTTCAATTTGGGTTGAAGGGACAGAAGGGAGGTGGTATTAACTGACTGACCATTCTTTATTTCGAGCACGTGCAGGTGATAAGAAAGTACTCCAACCTTTTATTGATAAATTTACCCCATTCCTTCCCTTTCTCATGAAACTGGGTTGAAGGAATGACGGAGGTTGAAGAAACGACGAAGGTTGAAGGAGCGACTGTTTTTCACTCCAAGAATGTAGTAAGCTTAAGAACGACTGTCATTCCGAGCACGCGCAGAGAAAGTTTTTCTTCTTTCCCCTAACTAAAGAGGGTACTGGACTGGACCACTGGTTGTTCATTCAACGAACTGTTGAGCTCTGAACTTCTGGTGCTGAAGGGAGGACAGGAAAGGAAGCGAGAGTAGAAAATAGAGAGAAGTTAGCCCGTGCATATGATTCGTAAAAAAAAAAAATCATCTAAAACGATGGAGAAAATGATGACGAGTAATTCCTCTCCAACTACCTCATTCAAGACCCCCCAAATCAACAACCCTCTTGATCGAGATGGGGTGGGGTCTGTTAATCTCAGAGTTCTGTGTTTCGATGCATTCTGGTTGCAGGAACCAGCTACCGTGACTATGACGTGTTGGGATCATCACAATAAATGAATACGTAATAATTGTGTGATACATGTGCAGCCAAATGTTTTTGTTCCATTACACAGAATTTATTTATTATTTTGTTATTTTTATCAAAATAATTAAAAATAAAAACAATAAAAAGAGAAAACTTAAAGGCATTGGGAGTTGGGATTCATTTACATTTTTATTTTTCATTGTTTTTTATTTTTAATTATTTTGACAAAAATAACAAAATAATAGATAATTTTTATTTAAGAGAATAAAAACATTTAGATGAAAGGCAGACATGTGTCACACTGCTATTACGTATTCACTTATTGTGCTTACCTAATGTGCATATTACATCCGGACCCCCATTTTATGCTCACCAGATCACTTCTTTATCCTTCCATTGCTGTGTTTACATGGAAGATGGGAGCTTTGGCCTAACAGATCACTATCCAACGTGAACTCTATATGCTTTATTGCTTTTTTTCATTAATATGACATAGAAATATGTTGAGATGGGTATTTACATCTTTTTACGCACTGACTGATGATGGATTAACACCAGGTATTGAATTGTCATAAATTAAAAGTTTCAATACTAGATTATCGCATTTTAAAATTAGTGACCAGATTGTCACTCGAACCAAAATATTCTCAAAAATTTTCCCCTTTTTTATATATTTTGGTGGGAGAGGGGTCGGTTTAATTTAAAGAGTACACAAAAAGAAGTGCTGTGACAAGCCAGTGCCAGTGAAAGGTAACTCTTCTTCTCTCGATGGTTGGTATTCCCA